ATGGTTACGTTTTATAGCTTCAAATAGACTTTAAAGCAGCGGGAACAGTTCAAGATAATAACGATGCACTTGGCTTAGAATCGCAATAAATGTGCTCAGAAGGAGAAGTTCAAAAAGTTATTGTAACGAAAGCGAGAGCCTTGGGTATGATAAGAGCGGTGGTCGGATATCGGACGTTGCCACCGACTAGCCAGAAGTTCTGATTGAGGCACTGGTGCGTGGAAATTGAGGAGGTTTTGCCCAACCTGGACGTGCATGGATTGTGGATAAAGTTATTTGGAAGTAGCTGGGAAAATCCAAAAAATTTGATAGGGGTGCCGCGACAAAGCACCAATTCGGAAGGTCGTTCCTCAATTTCTACCTTGTTTTATGTGATGTAAGCGACTCGCCTTTCTACTAATTTGCGACGTACAATGAAGAAGGGATTATTTCCTACAGCCCACGAAGCTTTGCTGAATAACGACTCGATGGCGATGCTAAAGCCTTCAAAACAAACCTTTCAAAACTTAAACTGTGCTGAAGGAGGGTCATGGCAATTTCATCAAGTCTGCGGCTGGTCATATTCGCTCTATCAGGTGGCACTGTTGCAGTGGAGTAGAACTCTCAACATTATGTCAAAATTCACCAAAAACTTCAAGATGCGGGTTCAGCATTTCTCATTATAAAGGGAAGAACACATCTCTGACAGTTGTCTTACACGCATATCGCACAACCAACCCTGCACAAGCTTGGACCAGCTAGGCTGAAGAAGGGGTGCTGCAGATATCCTACTCAGTATACCTCTGGCTATCAACTGTCACTTTTTTGGGGCCTCGATAGTTCCCTTGAAAGAGAAATGCTTCAAAACACAACCCGATGCTAAAACGACCTTCCCTCAGTTCACCGCCTCCAGAGCTCCAGCATTCTGAACAAACGTACCACTGAAACGGTTTCTTATAGCGGAAGGTTAGCGCATTCAAACGGTTTTTATTCAACTCGAAAGGTTTGGTTTAAGCCGAGATACATGCATTTGAAATTCGGGGTCAAAAAACGGCAGAACTTTCTGAAACGCCTAATACAATCCAAAATTCTTGTTAATGAATAGCTTACAGGGTGGACGCGTAGTGCATTATGCTGCCGTACTCGTACGGCTCGTAGTTGATGCTTTCTGCCGCGTCAACTTTTGCGAAGTTTCCTTTCTTACTTTCCTGAAGCGTTGTAGAAATCAGTATCAACCATGCTATTACACTGTAGAAACAGGACATCATTCAATGTTGGCCAGGAGATTCACGTTGCGAACAAACGCACGCGAGGCGGCAAAGCAGAGTATCGTAACCAGCAGAATTCTTATTGTCTTCATTAGGCCGATGTCAGACTTTGCGAATCGCGCGATTCGCTACTAGCGATTCGCGCGATTCGCTAGCGTCCGCGGTCGCGTTGCGGTACCAGCCAATTGAGTGATTCACTGGCCGCGACGCGACCGCAGACGCTAGCGAATCGCGCGATTCGCAAAGTCTGACATCGGCCTTAAGTGGTTGGGAAATACGCTAATGAAGAGCGTGCAGTTAGCGCAATATTACTCCTTTTTCTTTTCGCTTCTATTTCATATCCTTTCCCATAAAAATCTCAATCCGCAAACAATCGGAGTTGTCCTTATTATTCGGAATTACAAATGAAGAGAAAAGGGAATTAAACAAATATGGGGTGAATTGAATTGTGGAATAAGCCTGGAGAACACATACTTCAACGGAGCATCCCACGATAACGTCGGAGGTCCACGAAGGTGTAAACTAACTAATAGTGGAGAAGATAGGCAACCCGCTAAAGTGTCGAGCGACACGCAATTCGCAACGAAGTAATATCCCCGCGATGACTAGCATGGCGCGTAGCGCGTCGCCGGCTGCTCTACGCTCCTCGCCGTCCTGGTTCTAGAGAGAGAGAGAGAGAGAGAAAGAGAGAGCGAGTGAGTGAGTGAATGAGTGAGAGAGCGTTAGCTTTGAAGAGGTCGGCATCGATGAGAAATGCCTAACACGCTAATCAACGGGCGAAAAGGGTCCCATTTCCCAGGTTCTAGGTTGTTTTTCTTGGTTTTTTCTTCATCTTTCATGCATTCTGCATTTTGCGGACGGATGGATAGAGAAGCCGACTGAAAAGTTGAACTTGATCAGAAGAATCGGCCACAGGAACGGGATGCAAGACTCAAGGTCGAAACCACCTTGAGGTCGATAGCGATGGTAGGTAACCTCAAACCCCATGGAAGATGGGGGCAGTGTACAAAGACTTGTTTCTGCTTGAAGGACAGCTTTCACAGAAATTTTTCGCCGTAAGATTTTCGTCATTTGTTGCGCCCCCTGCGACGAAAGGTTTGCTGACGTGCGCCATATAGGCGAAGACTTTTTTGGCCCCCCCCCCTCTCCAATCTCAACTGTAGTACACGGGATAATGTATTTTCATATACTCACGGCAACACAAGTTAAGTCAACAATCACGTGATCGTCCCTATCACTTTCTCTTCTCATATGCGTGTGCCATGATCCGAGGGCATGCATGAACTCGTGTGCAGTGAGGCCAACCTAGAATAGAGCTTGTTTTACATAGTCAAGCTCAGGTGGAGTAGGACTGCTGACCTGATCACAGCCGTTTCCCAGTGACATCTGCTGCACACCTCCTACCATTCCGATACTGGACCAACAACCGGAACCGCTGATTATGTGTACTCGATTTGCTGCCGTATTATCTTGAGTGAAGGTAAGGCATGTGCGAGAGCTTATGTACGTGAGCGCCTGCTGGACGATAGCGTTCGGGTGTTTGGCAGCTAAAAGAAAAAAGAGCTCGCAATGTGGAGTTGAAAGCAGGGAACACGATGGCTGGGGGTGGGGCGGCTTTTGTGACGTCATTGAACCTCACTGCTGGTAGGCTTCTAACCGCGATAAAAGGCGTGATGGGAACACCTCCCGTCTTCATTCCACCAATCACACTCAACTCACGTCACAAAATGCTCACAAGGAGGGCGTTTCAGGAGCATGGTGCATCTTTTTTCAAAATGTTTTTTGAATTTCATATGTGAAGAAACACAGAACGATGGTTCATTTCTCCTGAATCCCCAGGAAAGCTGGGAAGTCAAAACAGCGAGGATGAAATGGTAGAGTTCGATCCCCCGCGATGACAAACTTTTGCAATTTATGATACCGCTCCAAATTGCCGCAGAACACGACAATGACATCTATTCTCGACGATGGCGCCATTTGGCGGCAATCTGGGGCGCCAAACTATATTGCAAAAATTAGTCATCACCGGGGATCGAACTCTGGACCATTTCTTCACCACTGTTTTGACATTCCTGGAGGCGTTCAGGAAAAATGGATCATGGTTCTGTGTTCCTCGCATGAGCCCCTACAATATGCAGAAAACCATTTCGAAAAAAGCGCTCCATGTCCTGAAAGACCTTCCCTTGTCAGCTGTCCAGCCATCGGCGCTCAACTGCCTCATCATATTCTACATAGACCATAATGAGATCAAGGCGGCTAACGTATGGCGCATCGAAGAATAAAAAGCCGATTGTTTCCCATCTGGATTTACATTGTCGAATTGACCGCTTTGTGACGAGTCACATTATTTTCATGGAAACTGGCCTCAATCATATCGAGCTGTCGCCTGGAATGGTTTAGCCTATTAGGTGGAAATAAATGGTAATGTTGAAGTCCTTTTAACGCACTCAGTGAGGACAATATCTCCACCGTAGAGGTAGTCACTGACGCCTTCTTCCTGATTGATTTCGTCAATGGTCCGATCAGTAGGTGTTGCCTGTTTCGATTGTTATTTCCTCAAACGGAAATTATTCAAGCTGGTGAGAGAGTGGGTACACGAATTTGGTAACTTGAAATGCGAAAATGTTTGTCAGAGATCGAATCCCAGGTCGGCCGCCTACTCCAACAAAGCCTTCGCTCCCTCGCGCATATTGAATTGGCATCATTTCAATAGTC